AAAATTTGTGTCCAAACACTCCCACTGTGCTCAGACTTTGCCCACTGGTATAGATGGGGTGGATGATATTGAGCAGCATGCTTACTGAGGAGCTATTGGTATGGAAGAGCTGCAGAGAAGGGTCGGGGTCATTCTTTGTGGATGGTGTAGTGATTGGTAATTCCCTGTGAGTCAATGGATGCCCCACATACATACACATAAACACATCTCCAACTGGATTTAGTCGATTATCCAGAGAGAGAGAGAGAGAGAGAGAAAGAGAGAGAAAAAGAGAGAGAGAGAGAAGCATGAAGTTGAGTTGGGGGTATGTTAGGGACATATGAGAAAAGTCAAGAGGGTTAATGGGGATTTTAATCATATATGTTCTGAATTCTCGAAAATAAAAACATACTAATGGCAACCCATGGGCTGATGCTGATCCCATTTTCCACACATTTCAAGATTTCTGATGAAATTCTGCAGTTTTGCAGGAAGTACACATGAACAAAGATCCGTCCGTGTTCAACACAGGTCCGTGTGTGTGTGTGTGTGTGTGTGTGTGTGTGTGTGTGTGTATGAGCAATGTGCTGTTCCAGGAAGTTGGTAATGCAGCTCCTCACTTAAACAATCCAAGTTCTTGAGAAAGACACTGAGGCTGAGTTTCTAATTTACTCTTTAAGTCACAACTATAATGAGAAATGCCCCTCCCCTGTACAGGGCTTCAAAGCAGTATACAGACAAAATGGAGAGGCCCACAGTGCAAACTACCCCAGGGCAGGCTTTGTGGTTTCCGCTCACATTCATATTAGCACCTATAAATAAACTCCTATTCTTTGAATCAACTCGTATCTAAAAAAAGAAGAGAGAAATCGGAAAGGGGCAAAAACAAGGCAGGAAAATGAACTGCTGACAAGGTCAAATGCTGACATGATCAGGACAGCCTGGGGACTCTTAAATATCTTTGGGTGGAGGACATAGAGAGGGACAGAATGGAAGGCTTGAGGGGAACAGATGGAAGGACATGGGAGTGGGGAACAGGATGGAAGGCGGGGGGCGGGGGGCGACAGTTGCCATGGCCAGGTCACAGAGGAGCCTGTAGAAAGTTTCTCTCTTGTTGAAAGTGCTTGGCTTTTTCCACACCTAGCCTCTGAAGTTCACAAAGTTGTCTTAATCTGAGGATACATTGGTTCTGCCAACTATTATATGGATCTATAAAAATCTATCCTATTTTCCCAGAAGCTCTTTTTTCAATGTCTGAAGAAATGCCACAGGATCGGTTTCATTTGTTTTCTACAGTCTGATGGCTACATCTCTCAATTCATTCCTTTCCTTATCACTACTTCTTGCAGATTCTGAGGCCAACTAAGGATGACCTGAGTATGCCCTCAGGGCACCCATCAGGATGGTAACCACTCACCATGGGTGATTATCCAGTGGGCTGAGCTTTGTTCTCTCTCTTTCTCTCTCTTTCTCTTTCTCTCTTTCTCTCTCTCTCCCTCTCCCTTTCCCTCTCCCCCCACTCTCCAGGCTTTGACTTCCAGCTCTAAACTGTGGAGCTGCCTTCTGATATTGAGGATCTATGTCAACAGGCACAAACCCAGAAAAGACATTAAAGAATGTACAGAATAAGGAGAGCAACAACAGTGCCCTATACTTTCTTTAATAATGAGAGAGAAAGGAAGACAGGGATACTGCTCCCACTGCCTGTGTAGGAATCACACTCCAAATACATTGAGAGTTCATGTCAAGGATCCACATCTAAAAGGAAAAAAATGCTGGAGATGTGGTTCAGTGGTACAATGCTTGTCTGGCATTCATGTGGTCTTAGATTCAATCCCAAGTGCAGCAAAGAAACAAACATAAATTGTGTTAACTTTATTATAAGAAACAAATGGGCAAGCCGGGCATAATGGGGCACATCTTTAATCCCAGCACTCAGGAGGCAGAGGCAGGTGGATGTCTGTGAGTTCAAGGCCAGCCTGGTCTACAGAGTGAGTTCCAGGACTCTCATATAGTACTGTTAAGTGGAGAAACACTGTCTTGAAAAATAGAACAAAACCAAAGGACAAACGTGTTTATTCATATTTCTCCAGTGCTTTTGGGTCAGCTTGGGTCTACTTCTCACACAAAGTCTTCTCCAACAAGACTTCACTGACCACTTTTTCCCCTGAACACTCACCACCTTACAGTTTGTATTATTTACAGTTAAACCTGGCTATTTTTTTTCTCTGCTGTTTCCTGTTTCATACCTGCTAATAACATTAGCAACTTCTTTTACTGTCTTCTTTACTGGTATCAGCTATGCATGGGCAAAAACACATCACACACACACACACACACACACACACACACACACATCTACAGGTGGCTAGAGAGATGCCTCAGTGACCGAAGTGCTCTGCTCGCTACCCTTGCAGAGAACCCGGGGTCAGTCCCAGAACCATCGTGGCATTCACAACTGCCTATAACTACAGAAACAGGAGATCTGATGTCTGATCTCCTCGGACTCCAGTGCACAGGTGGTGCATATACATACACTCAAGAATAGACCAATAAAATTAAATAAGTACATTTAAAAGATAAAAATATAGAGGGAACAAAATTAAATTGCAAAGCTAAAGAGAGTTGGACAGATGTTAGAAATTTTGTTGAAAATAGGACAAGTATTCTATCCATAACCAAATGACTTCCTGAAAGCAAAAGTTTTTTCACCCCACATTCTTCAACTATTTCACAGACATTTGTTAAAACTTTATGATGACCCAGGCATTCCTATCATTAAGCTGTGTCGTGGCCACAAAACTCGTCTTCTATAACAAAACAGTATATGTGTGCATGAAATTGTTTTTGTCAAACATCTCTGTATGCTTTAAGTTTCCTATAATGTATTGTGCCCAAAAATCAAACCTTGAAAATTCTTCTCTATGTTCAAGTGGTCAAAATCAGAACTAAAGTATTTACACGTCAATACTTCCCAAAAGAACAGGGGACAAAACCAAACCCCATCCCTAGACACAAACAGACCCATCCAGACCCATCCAAGAAGCAATTAATGGGACCGAAAGTTATCTTTGACATAGGGTTTCAGTCCCACCGTGACAAAGAAAGCATGGTGGTGTTAACAGCAGCAAGAGCTTGGCAGGGGATTCCACATTATGGAGGACTGGGAAGTAGAGAATGAAACTTGGACCAAGTGGACTGGGCTATCACCTTCAAACGATTTCCTCTAGCAGTTTCCTTATGCCAGGGAGCCCTCCTCCCTCAAAGGTTATACTGCCTCCAAACAGTATCACTCACTGGGAAACAAGTGTTTAACACATAAGCCTGAGGGGGACATTGCAGACTGATACTGTAGCACTGTACCTAAGGACTACAGAGATAGAGGAAAGGGGCAGATCCCTCCTACTCTCCCTGGAAACGAGAGGAGGACATAGCTGACCCCACCCCAACCTGGTCCAACCTGGCTTCACCTTATTCACTCCATGCACACAATCACTTCTCTCTCCCTTTTCTGCAAGAAAATGCCTACCTAACACATGGCCTTGGAGAGGGAAGACCTGAGAGGCAAATGAGAAGACAACACAGTTACAAAAATAATTTATTGTGTTTTTATATCATTATCTATTAAAATTCATCACTACTTTAAAAAAGTACAGCCACACCGAGGTTCACTGTTAACATGTTAAAAAATAATAATAATAAAGGGGAAGAAGAAAAATCCACGTGTTTCAGTAGTTTAAGGAACTATCCTGAAAATGAAACAATAAATAACAGTATAGCAGTTCCTATCACTACAGTAGGTGCAGTTAAATAAGAAAGCAAATTCAGGATGTTTGGAACCTCATGTCCTAAGGCAAGCTTATACTTGACACAGTCATACACAGAGGCCTGCCATGGTGACCTGCATTCACAGCTAATCTATCTGCGTTATCAGGCTGGAGAATTTCTCATTATACAACAATGAAACTCTCCTAGAAAATTTCCAGGAAGGCAATATCCTCAACAAAATAAATATTCTGGTCCCTCATGACAATCTATAGCCACAGGTGACTGATACAGTCACTAACTTCCTCCTGGCATGCCACTTTTGGCAGTTTCAAAAGTACAGAGACTCTCTGCTGAGTACGCATCATCCGCAGTACGACACATGTGTGACACCTCAAGAATCCGTGTCCTACAGGAAGACTGCTGACACTGTGCAATGGAAAGCCAGTGTGTGATATCAGTAGCAGAAAGGTAAACAGTCTTTGATGGCTTTTATAGTAATAACATTAATAACCCACATGGATGGCAATCTTAAAGGATGGCAGCCTATCCAAAACTCACAGACATACGTTAAAAAAAAAAAAAAAAAAGACATGGAGTCATCTCCGGAACAATGAAGAGATGAGAAAAAATTAGAAAATCTGTACACCTAAAGAAACTAATCAAGAAGGAGGACTCTGGCTAAAATGTTCAATCCCCATTCAGAAAGGCAAAGAGAACGGACTTCAGAAGAAGGAGAAAACAGGGAACAAGTCAGGAGCCTACCACAGAGGGTCTCTGAAAGGCTTTACTCTGCAGGGTATCAAAGCAGATGCTGGGACCTATGGCCAACCTTTGGGGAGAGTGCAGGGAATCTTAGGAAAGAAGTCAGAGATAGTAAGACCTGGAGAGGACAGAAGCTCCACAAGGACAGCAACAGAACCAAAAAATCTGGGCACAGGGGTCTTTTCTGAGACTGATACTCCAACCAAGGACCATGAATAGAGATAAACTAGAACCACTGCACAGATGTAGCCCATGGCAGCTCAGTCTCCAAGTGTGTTCCCTAGTAAGGGGAATAGGGACTATTGCTGACATGAACTCAGAGGCTAACTCTTTGATCACTTCCCCCTGAAGGGGGAGCAGCCTTACCAGACCACAGAGGAAGACAATGCAGCCACTCCTGATGAGACCTAATAGACTAGGATCAGAAGGAAGGAGAAGAAGATCTCTCCTATCAGTGGACTTGGGGAGGGGCATGCATGGAGGAGGGGGAGGGAGGGTGGGATTGGAAGGAGAGGAGAGAGGGAGCTACAGGGGGATAGAAAGTGAATAAAGTGTAATTAATAAAAATTTTTAAAAAATAGAAAAAAAAAGACAAGTTGGTCCCATTTCTATATGTAACATGTTGGTAATATGTCACTTTGCTGAGTTCAGTTGTCCATCCACTCAAGTATAGGTGCTAGAAGCAGATGAAGAGCTACTCTTGGAACTGCCTTCCCCTACCTTCCACCCTGGCTTAAAAGTCAGTCAAATATGATTGGGGGTGGGGAGGGGCTTCAGTGAACAATTGGTTGGTTCTCCCTCCCTGCCTTGACTAGCTGCTTCTCCTCGACCCATCAGCACGGGCTGACAGAACCTACCTAAAACAAAGCCTGGTATATCTTTGCACTACAGGAAAAACATCTGTGTGCTGACAGCAGCAGCCAGTGCTTCCAAGACAGCAGGAACCTCACACTGTGGGATCTTTGACCTGCCCCAGACCTCCTCTAGCTCCTGATCCTGGCTCGGACAGGATGAACTGCCCTTCTGCAGTTGGAGAGACTTCATATCTGTGGAACCAGACTTCATATCTGTGCCGAATCAGTAGGAAGACTGTCTCCTCCTTCTGGTCCCTTCATTCTAGAAAGAAAGCAAAGGCAAACCAAAGTCACTGCGTGCTTAGTTTTATAACTGTCAACTTGATCCAAACTGGAGTCACGTGAGCAAAGAAAGTCAGTGAGGGATTGCCTAGATCAGGTTGGCCCATGGGCATGTCTGTGCAGGAATGTGTTGACTGCTTTCATGGATGGGAGAAAACTCAGTCTGAAATTGGGCAGCACCATTCCCCAGCCTGACTCCCTGGACTGTGTAAGAGTAGAGAAAACAGCCAAGCACGAAGCACGGGGCACTCATTTCCCCCTGGCTCTTGGCTGTGGTTTCAATGTGACTAGAAACTTCAAGTTCCTGCCACCCTGAGTTTCCTGCAGACAAACTGGAACAACCTGAGATTGTGTTCTAGCACAGCAACAGAAGTGAAAATAGGGAAGTCGCTGATTTTCAAAAGCCAGAATTATTTGGAACATTTGTGTTTAGATATGGTTCTCACTGAGCCTGAGGATATAATCTTAAATCGAACTGGAATCACCAGCATTTCTGAAGAGAAAAGCTTTACTCTTCACATGCACACACAAACATACACACCCATATATGCTGATGTGCATACCTGCTGGCTACTCCTCAAAAGACAAATAACGTGTTTGTTGGTTGCTCATTTATTTTGGTCTGAATCTTGCTAAACATGTTGATGTGGCCTTTTGGCTAACGAGGGCATTTTGACATTTGACCGTTCTTTGTACTTTAACTATGTCGAGTACAAAGTCACCTGCCCCAGTTCGTTCACCTGTCACTCCAGGTCCTTTGCTCCCTCTACTCACCATAGAGCAGGAGAGATTCTGGGTCGAGCCCGAGCCTCTCACAACTCGATACATTCTTATCGTGAAAATTCTGTCGCATAATGCCGAGCACCAGCTCTTCACTTAGCATGTGCTTCATAAAGCCGTCATCATCCGATGGAACTCCAAACAGCAAGTGATAGGTCACCGTGGCATTTTCAAGACTGAAAGCCAAACCATTAAAGTAGACAGACAGACGTAAGGAGGAAGCAGAACCATATTGGAACTCAGAAACCAGTTTCAACATTAGTGCTTCTTTGGCTCCACATCTTCCTGTAACCGGCTTCAGAGGGTACACTAACCTAGGGGCATGCACTCTCCTAGAGCCCTCCTCCTCAGCCCATCACACACCCACCACCAACTGTTCTTGCTTTCGGGGCCCACTGAGAGTGGCCGTTGAAAGGAAAGGACACAACCCAACTATCATAAAGACAGACTGAGACTTGGCATGGAACCCATCTAATAGCCTTTCATCCTGTATGGCGAGCCCGGAAGGTCTGCCTCTATTCCCATCTCCACGTTTTCAGTGCTGACACCATGTGTTCTCATCAGGGCTGGTCAGTTTAACGAGTTCTTTTAAACTGTTTACAGAAACACACACACACACACACTTTGATCATACCCTCCCCTACGTTTAACCAGTTAACCTATAAAAATGGTTGTGGTCTGGCTCAAGGCTTCTTACCCTAAGCTAGCTCTCAACTTGATCTCCCAGAAAATGCCCTGTGTACCAGCAACGAATCATACTTCCTATGTTTGAGAGGTTACTCTCCATGTCCACTCCCAGAGCTCCCTAAGGCATGATGACCAATTTTTTAGGCTCTTGGTAAGGAAACATAAGGAATTTTCAACCCTGAAGAGGCCCTAACCCTTTTATCTTCAGGACACATTTTTCTAACTTTTTATAGTGAAAATAATTATAGGTCTATCCTTAATTAGTAACTTTAGATGCTACCCTTTAGATGCTACCTCAACGTTTAATTTTTCACAGGTATTATATTGGTTTGGTCAAGATGACCCACATTAGACTCAGCAATAAAAAGAAAAGAAAAGAAATTTAACAGGAGCTCACATCAGAGAGATGCTTCTAGGGAGAGATTTATAGCCACAACAGTCTGCAATTAATCAGGCCAGTGCACTGCTAAGGATAGGCAAAGAGCTCCCCCTTGCGGCCAGATGTCATAATAGCTAATGACTGTATGCTTTATACTGCTGGGATGACTCAGTTTGTCAACTCTCCCATATACCAAAGAAGCGTGCCAAGCCCTGAGGGCCAAATAAATAACAGAGTAAATTTAGACGCTGACAAGACCCAGTTACCAGGATGCCAGTCAAGGCAGTGTTAAAAGCCCATCTTCGAGCTCTAATCTAGCTAGCCTAGTTTGTGGGCGTTGTTAATTGGCCCCTAGCTGTGCACCCGCCGGCAGGAAGCAATCCTGCATGATCACTGGTAAGGATTTGGGCTAACTGATGAAACAGCCCTGGGTGAGCTTTCAGAAGATGAGTCTGGAAGCTAAGTGAGAGTATCAAGCTGCCTGACTGAGGCTGAGTGCCCCTTCCATGCCTGTCCCTCCTGTCTGCTGCCACCACCCCAGTCTCCCTCGGTAAGTTTATAGAAGACAAAATTGGAGAGAAGGCGTTTATCTATGAGCTTTCCATCAGTGGAGGGGGCTAGCAACTGATGCAGCAAGAGGTACTTTCAGATACTGCTGGGCCAGTCCTAGACAGAGGCCAGGACCTCTCTGTAGACACAAACGCATGTCCCATGTGCCAGGGATAGGGATATCTTTTCACTAGGGTTGATTTTTTGAAAAAAATCTATGTAAAGTTTAAAAAGAAAAGAGAAGAGGGGCTGGGATGTTATTCAGTTGGTGGATTGTTTGCGTAACATGCAAGAAACCCTGCATTCAAGCCCCAACACACAGAAAATCTGACATGATGGCACATGCTTGAAATCCCAGCATGTAGAGGCAGGGCAATCCAAAGTTCAAGGTCAGCCTTGGTTACTTGGGTTCGAGGTCAGCTGGGCTATGTGAGACACTTTCTCAACAACAACAAAACAAAGACATAACTTCTTTACACTAAAGTCCTTGGGATTTTCTTTTAGAAAATGCTTTAAATCTCCCTCCCTCCTTCCCTCTCTCTCTTCTCTTTGTGTGTGTGTGTGTGTGTGTGTGTGTGTGTCTGTGTGTGTGTCTGTCTGTCTCCCATCCTCTACGGGGAAGTAGGAATGTTAGATCCCCTGAAGCTGCAGCTGGTAAGTGAGCTGCCAATTGGGAGATGAACACAGGTCCCCTAGAAGAACAGGAGGTTTTCTCAACAGCTCAGCCACCTCCCCAACCCCACCGCTAATAATTAAAAAAAAAAAAAAAATCTTCAACAAATGGTGCTGGTCTAACTGGATGTCTACATGTAGAAAAATGCAAATAGACCCAGATCTTTCACCTTGTGCAAAACTAAAGTCCAAGTGGATCAAAGACCTCAACATAAAACCAGACATACTAAATCTCTTACAACAGCCTACAGACAAGCAAAGGAACTTCACCAACCCTATATCTGACAGAGGGTTAATATCTACAATATATAAAGAACTGAAGAGTTTAAACACCAACAAACCAAGTAATCCAATTAAAAAATGGGGTACAGAGCTAAACAGAGAATTCTTTACAGAAGAATCGAATGGCAGAGAAATGCTTAAAGAAATGTTCAGCATCCTTAGTCATTTGGGAAATGCAAATCAAAAAGACCCTGAGATTTCGCCTTATACCCATCAGAATGGCTAAGATCAAAGACTCAAGTGACAACACATGCTGGAGAGGTTGTGGAGAATTGGGAACCCTTTTCCATTGCTGATGGGAATGTGAACTTCTACAACCACTTTGGAAATCAATCTGGGGCTTTCTCAGAAAATTAAGAATAGTGCTTCCTCAAGATCCAGCTATACCACTCCTAGGCATATACTTAAAAGATGCCCCACCATTCAATAAGGAAATTTATTCAACTATGTTCATAGCAGTTTTATTTGTAATAGCCAGAATCTGGAAACAATCTAGATGCCCCTCAACCGAAGAATGGATACAGAAATTGTAGTACCTTTACACAATGGAATACTACTTGGCAATTAAAAACAAGGAAATCATGAAATTTACAGGCAAATGGTGGGAACTAGAAAAGATCATCCTGAGTGAGGTAACCCAGAAGCAGAAAGACACATATGATATATACTCACTTATAAGTGGATATTAGCCATATAATATAAGATAAACATACTAAAATCTATAGTCTTTACGAAGCTAAAAAAAACAAGGAGGACCCTAGGGAAGATGCTTAATCCTCATTCAGAAGGGAAAAAAAGGATAGGCATTGAAAGTAAGAGAAGACAAGGAACAGGACAGGAGCCTTCCACAGAGGACCTCTGAAAGACTCTAACTATTAGGGTATCAAATAAGAGACTGAGAATCATGGCCATACTTTGGGCAGAGTGCTGGAATCCTTATGGAAGAAGAGGGAAATAGAAAGACCTGGAGGGAACAGGAGCTCCACAAAGAGAACAACAGAGGCAAAATACCTGGGCCCAGAGGGGCCTGCAGAGACTGATACTCCAACCATGGACTGTGCTTGGAGAGGACAAAGGAAGGAAGCCCATTGGCTACTCAGTTTCCAAGTGGGTTCCTTAGTAAGGGGCTGTCTCTGACATGAACTCAGTGGTGGGTTCTTTGATCACCTCCTCCTGGAAGGTGCAGCCTTGCCAGGCTAGAGAGGAAGATGATGCAGCCAGCCTTGATGAGACCTGATAAGCTAGGGTCAGATAGAAGGGGAGGAGGTCCTTCCCTATCAGGGGACTAGGGAAAGGGCATGAGGGAGAAGATGAGGAAGGGGGCTGCAGTGGGGATACAAAATTAATAAATTATAATTAATAAATACATAAATAAAATTAAATTTAAAAAAAAACCCTAAGCCTTGGCCTGATTTCTAGATCTGTTTCGCTCAGTTTTCTGAAGGGTTTCTCAGTGTCTACTCTCACCTGTTAAATACTAATCCCAGACCCTTTATGTCCATAGTATAATGACAGATTCTCGGAAAGATCCAAAAGTCTCTGAGGTGGAAGGAATCATTCCTGCCTCAACTCTACTGCAATCTTTAAATTGAAAGACGGGTCAAGGGGATGGAGCAAAGCATGGGAGGTCCAGCTATGCAATTCTCCCTTTCCTACATCCATTTTTGTGCTGGTGACTTACGATTAAAGGTAGTAGGGTCACCACTGTGCAGCATGTGCTTACAGAGACATATGAACAAGAAGGAGGGCTGCATCAGACTTCACATCCTTTCTAATCCTGTCTCATCAGGTCACTGCTGGCGTTCCAGGCTCCTCTCTCAGATCTGCTGGTATTATGGCTCAAGATAGAACACTGACTTTGATGGCCACCTCCCAGTGACTCCCAGGAACCACTGACAGTAAGGCTTTGTCGCATAAATCTTGTTCAAAATACCTCCAGAGATCTCAGTGATATAAAATAATAATTAATTAAACGACTCCTTCACAAGAAAACACACACAAGTGCATGGGTCTAAATCTTCAAACTATTAAGCCTTTTATGAAATTAGAAAGAAAAAGTATATATGGACACTGTGTGTAGTAAACCTGTGCACAGAAAAAATCAAGGCAAACTGCTAGGACTGTGAATTTTATGGGGGCGACTGTACTAAGTCATTGGGGATAACACTAAAGAAAGGAGGCAGAAGATAGACTTGGCTGGCAGGTGTGTCTTTACGTCCTTAATGTTATATGAGGAGAGTAAAGGCCTAAATCACTATTGCAGCACATGAATCATGCCACTTCCGGCACATCACTCTCTGAGATTTATGTCTATTTCTGCCCTTAATTTATTTCTATTGTTAAATAGAAATATCTCTCTTGGACAGGCTTTTCCTCCCTGTGTATGACCTTAATTGAATCATATAATTAGTTTGTGATTTTTTTTTTCTGATTTGTGAGCTATTAGTTGAGCTATGCAGTTTCCAGGCTCTAGTCCATCCAGGCTGTGATATCTACTAGCAAGCCCTTTCTAGCTCCAAGACTCAGGGAAATCACTGTGGGCAAATGGAGGTGAGCTGGGCAGGTGGCTGGGTGACCTTCTGAGAAAGATAGCAAGACGTAAAGCTCCATGCTCTTACCTGAAGTCCATGATATCAGCAGAAGTAAAAAAACGACCCAAAGCTGGTGACTGTCTATACATGTCCGTGAGCTAAACACACAGCAAAAAAACAAACAAACAAAACAAAACAAAAAAAAAAAAAAAACACATGTCACTGAGGATCATCTTACATAGCACCTCCAGAAGCAAACGACTTCAGGACAAAGAAGATTCCACTCTAGATAGATTCCACTCTAGATAGCCTCGTCTGGGGCCCTGAGAGCAAGAAGGGCAAGTTGACCACAAATCAAAGCTCAAGTAAAGACTCAAGTGAGTTCTAAATGGTCCAAGTAGTAGAGTCTCACTGTCAGCCAGCCATGTGTCTATAATCCCAACATTTGAAAGCCAGATTGCCCATGAGTTCAAGGTTAGTCTGTTCTTCATAGTGAGTTTTAGGTCAGCCAAGGCTACATAGTGAGACTTTGTAAAAAAAAAAAAAAATTTAAAATGGGCTCATTGATGAGGTTCAAGGGACTCAAAGGCAATTCGCAACTTCACTTATGAGTTGAGCTGACACTTGGTAAGCTTAGTGGTCCTTTGAACAGTGATCCTCAGCAGGAGCCCATAGAGGCAACACCAACCTTTGGGTAGAGGAAATAAATGGTGGAGGAGTAAGCTCAGCACAAGCCACTCAGCACCAGGACCATCACCCCTTTCTCTTTTCTGGAGAAGGTTATTGTTAGTAGAAATATCTACCCTGAGTGTCCAATCCAGGACTTCCCCGGTCAAAGGAACAAAATGATGGAGTTGCAAAGATACAGAGGCTTTGCAGTAAAAATTGTATGCATCCTGAAAAATGATAACACCATATCTCTACCACCTAGGCTTCATGCTTTCACATTTTTCTATGCAGCAGCTTTGTAGTCTGTGATGGGGTTATTTCCTAGTAAATCAATCCATAGATGGAAATTATCAAAAGTCAAAAGTATACAAATGAGGGAGTAAAGATAGGTAGAGGCCACAAAATCAAACAGGCCTATAAGATTGGGCAAATGAATCTTTAAGAGGATCCTTAAAGATCCTCTTAAAGGGAGGCTCTAATAACACACATGTGAAGATGGAAGGGGGAATTCTAGGGGCAGAATAGTACAGCAATGATGGTAGGAGAAAGCAGCTGGTGGGGAACACAGGACAAAACTACATATATGAAAATATCATAAGGAAACCTGTTACTTTGTATGCTAATTAAAAATGCATTTAATCCTTGTGAAGCTCCTGTCTTCTCCAGATCTTACTATTTCCCACTTCTTTCATAAGATTCCCTGAAGGACAGGAGGTCCACAAGGAGAACAACAGAACTAACAAATTTGAACACAGGGGTCTTTCCTGAGACTCATACTCCAACCAAGTACCATGCATGGAAATAACCTGGAACCCCTGCACGGATGTAGCCCATGGCAGCTCAGTGTCCAAGTGGGTTCCCTAGTAATGAGAACAGAGACTGCTTCTGACATGAACTGATTGGCCTGCTCTTTGATCACCAACGCCTGAGGGGAGAGCAGCCTTACCAGGTCACAGAGGAAGACAATGCAGCCACTTCTGATGAGACCTAATAGACTAGGATCAGTAGGAAGAAAAAGAAACCCTCCCCTACCAGTGGACTTGGGGAGGGGCATACGTGAGGAAGGGGGAGGAAGATAGGGATTGAGAGGGGAGGAGGGAGGGAACTAGAGGGGGGATATAAAGTAAATAAAGTGTAATTAAAAATAAATTAAATTAAAATTTAAAAAAAGAAAAAATGCATTTAATCTGTTAGAAGAAAAAATGGGGAAGAGCCTTGAACTCATTGGCACAAAAGACAATTTCCTGAAATTAGGAAAAGATCTTCACCAACCCTATATCTGACAGAGGGCTAATATCCACAATACATAAAGAACTGAAGAGGTTAAACACCAACAAACCAAGTAATCCAATATAAAAAATGGGGTACAGAGCTAAACAGAAAATTCTCTATAGAAGAATATTGAATGGCAGAGAAACACTTTAAAGAAATGTTCAATGTCCTTAGTCATCAGGGAGATGCAAATCAAAATAACCCTGAGATTTCACCTGGCATACATCAGAATAGCTAAGATCAAAACCTCAAGTGACAATACACGCTGGAGAGGTTGTAGAGAAAGGGGAACCCTCCTCCATTGCTTGTGGGAATGTCAACTTGTACAACCGCTTTGGAAATCAATCTGGCACTTTCTCAATTAGAAATAGTGCTTCCTCAAGATCCAGCTATACTACTCCTGGGCATATATCCAAAATATACTCAAGTACACAACAAGGACATTTGCTCAACCATGTTCATAGCAGCTTTATGTGTAACAGCCAAAACCTGGAAACAACCCAGATGCCCCTCAACCAAGGAATGGATACAGAAATTGTGGTAGTTTTACACAATGGATACTACTCAGCAATTAAAAACAAGGAAATCATGAACTTTGCAGGCAAATGGTGGGATCTAGAAAAGATCATTCTGAGTGAAGTATCCCAGAAGCACAAAGACACACATGGTATATACTCACTTATAAGTGGATATTAGACATACAATATACGATAGACATACTAAAATCTGTACACCTAAAGAAGCTAAGCAAGAAGGAGGACCCAAGGTAAGATGATCAATCCTCACTCAGAAAGGCAAATGGGGTAGACATTGGAAGAGGGAGAAAACAGGAAACAAGACAGGATCCTATCACAGAGGGCCTCTGAGAGACTATCCAGCAGCATATCAAAGCAGATGCTGAGGTTCATAGCCAAACTTCTGGCAGGATGCAGGGAATCTTATGAAAGAAGGAAATAGAAATACCTGGAGGGGACAGGAGCTCCACAAGGAGAGCAACAGAACCAAAAAATTCTGGGTCCAGGGGTCTTTTCTGAGACTGATACTCAAACCAAGGACCATGCATGGAGATAACCTAGAACCCTTGCACAGATGTAGTCCATGGCAGCTCAGTCTCCAAGTGTGTTCCCTAGTAAGGGGAATAGGGACTATCTCTGACATGAACTCAGAGGCTAACTCTTTGATCACCTCCCCCTGAGGGGTGAGCAGCCTTACCAGGCCACAGAGAAAGACAATGCAGCCAGTGCTGATGAGACCAGATAGGCTAGGGTCAGAGGGAAGAGGAGGAGGACCTACCCTATCAGTGGACTTGGAGAGGGACATGGGAGGAGATAAGGAAGGAAGGGTAGGATTGGGAGGGAATGAGTGAGGGGGCTATAGCTGGGATACAAAGTGAATAAACTGTAATTAATATTAAAAAGTTAAAATTAAGAAAACCACCCAGTTATGAAGCAAAAAAAAAAAAATGTATTTAATGTGTCTGACATTCTCATGGTGGCCTAGCCCAGTCTACTTTAAAAATGCCCAAAACACTTTCTTTCATTAGCCCACAATTGGGAGGACCCATCTAACATGAAGCCTATTTTAAAATAAGGTGCTACACTCATTAAATTTGTCTAAATATTGTCCTCAAAGCCAAAACCAGAAAGGCTGAATACATGTGCTTTCACACAACCAAAACTCTGGAAAGCATAAGTTAAGAATTGACAACATTCTTTATCCATTCCTTGGTACTAACCATCATCCTGACACTGGTGTGTATCCTTTCTTCGCCTACATTTAGAAAATACTACTTCTTTATAGAATCACAATGTTACTTATGTTTTCATTCAAATAAAAGGTATTCTATTCTACAGAATCCTCTAAGAGCTGTTCTTTTTCCCCCCTCTTCAGATACTGTCTTGTTCAGGCTGGTCTGAAACTCCAGTATCTTCCTGCCTCAGACTCCTGGGTAGCTAAGACCATTGATGTGTACCATTCTGCCAAAATTAATACTTGCTTTTTTTACTGAAAATTAAATTTGAGATGTTTGCCAGATACATCTTGGGGCCCTTCAGTCCAGCTCCTGCATAGACTATATTACATCATTACATGAGCCTATCCATTTCCCACTGATGGCCATGTGCCTTCCTTCCATGTTGTCTCTATCATAAACTTTGCTGGTGAAATTGTTACTCCCAACCATTTCTATGCACCGTTTTGTTCTTTTGAGAATCTTCCTGGGGTACATGGCAAGAAATCAAATTACTGGTCCAAAGGCAGGTACACCTTCAACTTAACTCATTCTTGCTGAACATTCTCCATGTTCCTCTTCTCCCTGAGATCACACCTGTTCCATTCTCCATATTCTTAACAGAGTTAAAAACTTTTTCCAATATAGAGGATGTAGAATCATGTCTCACATTGTGTATGTTGCCTTTCATGCTAGAGGTGGAGCACCTGCTCTTCCATGTGTTCGGTTCTTTGGGACCTCTCACCTCTGAGTCATCTGTTATTTCTTTATCTTTTTGGAGTGGTTAGTTTTATTTTCAGGCACTAACTATTGGTTCTTTGTGGCAATACCTTTTTCCAGGCCCTAAACATTATTTTTATTTTTCTGTACATTTTGTCAACATGTCTGTACACACAGGGCACATGTGCTTGGCAGCACCTGCCTGTAATCACGGTGCTGGGGAAGCAGGGCCAGCAGGACCCTTGAGGCACACCTAGTGAGCCAACCTAGACACCCAGGAGTTCTCTGAGTCCCTGTGAGAAACTATCTCAAAAATAAAGTGGAAAGCAATTGAAGAATGTCAACCTCTGGTCTCCACATGTGCACACGTGTGTGTGTGTACACACACACACACACACACACACAAAATCCCAACAACACTGCATGTAACTCAAAACGACATATAACATGGTTTTGTAACTATCTGATTGCTCCCTCTACTTTGATTATGAGCCCCAAAGCAGGTACTATGTAGGCCTGACACTTGGCATCATAGCTCATTAAGAAATAGAAGCTGGGTGAGATACAGGACCAGAATGTGTGAAGAAACACTGTCTTTTGGGATGCACACAGCTGGAGGCCAGGCCAGGCTAATTCCACTTGCTGGCTTCGCAGCACACCAGATGCATTCATGAGCATCTTCTGCTGCTAACATTCAGATAAATGAAGCAGTGTACTCTACAGCTCTTTGCCAACTGTCCGAACAGAACTCATGACCCAATGGTAAGACACCTCCATAGACAATACATGAAATATAATCACCCTTTCAGTGAGCAAGTGTTGCAATTCCTCTTCATTAGCACACTCCTCTGGAATCTTGAGCATGATAAAGAATGTCTTGTTTGATGATAACTCGAGTATTTCATTTTCATCTTCATCGATGTAAGTCACTGAAGAGATTCAGGGGATAAAAATAAAGGTAAGTACAAGCATAAAGTATTGAATTTAATAAATTCAAATGCGGTGGTGCATACCTGTGATCCCAGAACAGAAGCAGGGGAATCACTTTAAATTCCAGGCCAGCTTAATCTACATAGTACCCATGATTTCAAAGTGAGATCAGCTCTCAAAATATATAAAGCAAGCAAAGGTATTTGTACTGTTGGCTTCTAAAACTAAACATAACTATCAGTATTCATGAAAGCTAAAGCTTGGGTACAGTCAGTAGGTACAAGCAAAAAATACTGTCTTTGCTTAGCAAAATAGAATAAAAGAGATGCAGTTGCCTTCACTGTGATAAATGCTTCATTAGAAGAAAGAACGAAACAAAAAAGAAAAAAGAAAAAAACATGAACTTGTTTGCTTGTTTGATAAAATGAACCTGAAAGTTATCTAGGCACCCAGGCATCAGGATAGATGCTAGAAGACAGTATGGACACATACAGAAAGTAATCACAAGCAGCCGCAGTGAGCCACCTTCCAGTTCAGTGCTGTCAAAGACCATGAAGAGAAAGTGGTATCATGGACAAGAATGGAGGTGAGTCCAGAAAATGAGGTATGAATCCATGACGCTAAGTATTCCAAGAGACAGGGCATGAGCATGAAGTCATCCCTCCAGCCTGCCTCCCACAGGAGAGGGATGTTGACATACTCTGTTTGCAGAAGGGAAACCAAACTTCACTTGGAGCCCCAGGCCTGCAGAGCAACACCTAGGACAATGAGCTCAGTGTGGCTTGTGTTCTAATGACTAGAGCTAATTGATTTTTAAAGAGTTTAGAGCTGGAGGAAAGAAGGAAAACCACACAAAGCCAGGAGCCAGGAGCCAGGAGCCAGACACTGCATTGGCATGCTTATTACAGCTCTTCTGGCCCCACTCCAGCTTCCCCGGTTTGCCCCACACAGGGGGCCACCTCACCTGCCCTGTGAAAAGCGTGGGCTGTGGAACTAAGTGTTCTCAGACTTCCCCCTCAAATTCTATGTGTCATACGTAACCACTTCTGCCTCTTTTACTGGACTTTGGAAAGCCATCCTGGAATGAATTCAATGTTTGTGATAGAAGTGCAGATAAACTGCAGGGCTGCTCTGTCTTAAAAATCTGGGTGGAGAGCAATTGAAGAGGACACCTGTTGTCAACCTGTGGCCTCTACATGTACATGCATACACACACACATAAACACACACATACATACACAAATGAACATTTTCAACAATGTTACTCAACTGTTAAACCCTGTGAACTACAATAGTGACCAGTACGGCAAAATATGCCCATGGATGCAACAGATCTAATATGTTATGGGAGTGACCAACTATTCTCTGATTAGATTTAAGGCTCACTGAGTTTCTCCACTGGAAAACAAAAAAACAAAAAAACAAAAAAACAAAAACCCAAACCTAGTACTGTAAACCCTGGCCAAGAGCCTGTGAATAGAGAATTCACGCCACAGGAAGTGGCGTCTACTAAATGGACGTGACAGCATTTCTGCTTCTAAGTTCCCGTCTCTATCTTCATAGATTAATGATACTCTCAGACCTCATTGGAGAAGTTTCTTTCTGCAGTGGATGGTGGTGAAGATAGAAATTCAAAACTGATCAAAGTGCAAAGAATATGTCTCAGTGGAGTGCTCAGCCATGACTTTAACATATACATTACTCTCCCCCACCACCAAAGTTCAGAAACAACTGTGGAAGAAGGGTCACAAAGGTTGTAAGAACTTGGAGTCAGGAAGACAAGAATGGAGTTTTCTAGACATGACAGGACAGCTGCACTCATGAACTCATAGCAGCCGTGGATATCTGCACAACACCTGCACAAGATCAACCTGAACAACATGCTGACATGGAAGAAGAGGGACACGAGCCTCCACCCTCCAAGAGCTATTGGCAGCTAATGGCTTCTAGGGAAGGGAGAGACAGGTTTTTAATGCGTGGCTCTGACAGGTCAACCATTCTTCAGTAGATACTCTCATTCCTGGAAGTATATGATCAGCACAAATTAGACGCCATAGATTATTAAAACAATCAAAAGTAAAAATACAAGGACATGAATTTGGGAAGGGGTGAAAAGATAGGAATGGATCTAAGAAGAATTAGGAAGAAGGGTGGACATTTATATGATCAAAATGTATTGTATGAAATTGATAGAAATATTAAAATTTAAAACAAACAAAAAAAAAAAAACTATCACTAACTTCTGAAAGAAACTTCTACTCACTAACCTATCCAAAAGGGGAATGTCTTTTCTAGCGTTAGTAAACATAGATTAGTTTTGCTTTTTTTGAACTTTAAATAAATGGAACCACACTAGAAAAACAGACAAACAAACAAAACAAAACAAAAAGCCCAGGATGATGCTATGTACTTCTAATTTCAGTTCTGGGAGGAGATGGGCATATCTGCAAGGTTCATCAGCCAATGAGCCTAGCTTAGTTGGTGAGTCCCATGCCAACATGAAATGCCATCTCAAAAACTAGACAAATGACCCCTGAGAAATAACAGTCAAGGTTTCCTCTGATTTCCATACAGGCATACACACACACACACACACACACACACACACACACACACACACACAGAGGGACAGAGACAGAGACAGAAAGGGACAGAGACATAGAGAAAGAGACAAAGATAGAGACAGAAAGAGACAGAGACACAGACACAGAGACACACAGAGAGAGTGTGTGTAAGAATTCAGATACTTATTCCCAAGGAGACACAGAACTTAGGAGAAATTATGGACAAAGAATGCACCATAAAGACTTAGCAGAGCTAGCCTGAGATTGCCAACCTTGGAAAGGCCTGCTTAGAGTGACTTTTGGCTAGCATATGGACGTTGGATTTTAAAAAGGTTCCCATCAACCCCTGACTTATAAGGGTGACTCACTGTGCCTCATGTACTTGTATTAACAATATGGTTAACATCTCCTTTCCTTCTTAGAACTGTACATTCGGTACACTCAAGACAGAGGCTGACTTGTGACCAGCACCCAGTGAAAATCCTTCCATAAAACGACGAGTGGGTATCTAGAACAGATGTGTTCAGTCACAACTTACTGCTGTAAAAATTGAGTCCCAAGTACCTTCACGGAAAAGGACTCTAAAACCTGAGCCCAAGGTCCTGTGAATTCTGTTACAATAAATATCTTTATTTAATGGGTAGTCATGATTTTAAATATGAGTGAGTGAGTAGTGTGGAAATGCCTGAAAAATCACTGACTGATTTGGGGGATCCCATACACAGGGGATTACCCCTGGATCCTTACTTGTTGTAGATCACTGAATATTTTTGTCTGGCCATAGAAACTATGCCACCTTATACAAAAATTTGAAAACCACAGAAAATTATAACCCGTCCCACCACCAAAAAGAAAAGTAGTCCTCATAATCATTTTTTTATGGTCTAGAACTTAAATGCCCTCTAAAAGGCTTATGCATTAATGGTTTGTCTCCCAGCTGAAGGGGCTGTTGGGAGGTGATAGAATTTTTGGTGGTGAAGAGCTGTACAAGGCAGTTAAGTCACTGAGTACAGGCCTTTGAAGGCAATATCCAGGGCCCTGTCTGACCCAGCCCTGTCCACCCTCCTCCCTGACTACAAGAAAATAAGCAGCTTTGCTCCACCATGCACTCCACATATGATGATCTGCTTTCCTGCTCAAAGAGACCAAGTCAAGTGGCATGATCTGAAACCAGGAGCCTTTCTTCCTTTTGAGTTGTTTAGCTAAGATACTTAGTCACAGTAAAGGAAAACTGACTAATAAGTCTTTTCATTAAATGCTTCTTTCTTCCCCATCTCCTTATTATACCATTTATTTGCTTGTTTGTTTGTTTATTTATTTATTTATTTATTTATTTATTTATTTATTTATGTCATGCTGGGGATTGAAACCAGGGCCTCACACAATCCATCCCTGGCCCCTCTCCTGATTTGCATCACATCATATTTTGGAAACCTTAATGAGTAGATCACTTTTGTCCCATTTTTTTGTTGTTACTGCTTTTGTGTAGCTGTCTTGATTCTTTCAAAGTCATTACTCAAGATTGAGAAAGACATTGAAAAAAGTCTATAGTTTACGATGTTCATGATTGGGTCATTTCTCTACTTTCAGGCTATAATCAGCTCTGCAATGTTTATAAGAGACTCATCCTCTTTGATTACACAACATTTAGCGTTTCAGCTTTCTACTGCTGTGAGTGATGCTGCAATAGACGTCTGTGAGTCACACAGTCTTCTCTCGATGACTCAGAGAGGAGCAGAAATTACACAACATGTGATAGAAACACCAACAACCAAGAGCTATCTATACTCAACGGCTAAGAAGGGACAAGTTCGAAATGAGGTCTCTGGTACCATCTCTGATGACATATCCATAACTTGTAGCATTGAATCTCTACAGAGACATAGCCTTTAACTGTGTTCACTAAAATAACAGCAGACTTGCTCAGTCAGTCTACTTTTTATGCAACTAATGGCAGTTATTATGAGCAATGTTTTCTATGGAGCCAAAATAGTTGTTTCTTTAAAAATCATAGATACATTCTCAGTATGTAGAAGGAACATGATGACAGAACTTCAGCTGTACTGTAAGACATAGAGGTGGAGAGGGAGCTACTAAAATGCTAGATGATGCCAGGCGTTTAGTAGAGCACTGTTAGAAGTCTCTCTAGAAGAAGGTAGAGGATGTGCTTGTACTACAACTCACACTTTGGACCAGTTGGGACCAGAAGAAACTGGAGGCAAGGCTACCGGGAACAATCCTGGGAGGCTTATTTTGCCTAACAGTGGAGGAAATAAGGAGATAGCTGGGGAAGACAGATAGAGGATGAAGCTGGCTTTGCCATTAGCCAGACTTAGTTTTGACCCAAGGCTAAGTACTTACTAGCCATGTGATCTTGAGGAAGTCACCTAAATCTCCAAAGCTAGCCCTTCTACAGAAATACCAACACCTATGTT